GATGCAGAGTGTAACTTCCATTTCATCTGACTTGTTCTGAAAAAAAAAAGTGAGATTTACTCATTGAGTTTCATTTCTGCTACTTTCTGGTTTGCTTTTTCTTTAATAGCTATAAAAACATGTCCTTTGTGTTTTCATCCTAATCACTAATATAATTTTAGTGAAAAACTGCTTGGGGCAATAGTAAATGAGACAAAACAAAGACTTAAATCAGGTAGTACTCAATTGTTAAAAAACTAAATTCAAGATTGATGCAGCGATTCCATAAATATATCGAAGTCCCAAGAACTCTTCCTGCACCTTTATAAGCTTTTGCTTTTATCTTCAAATTCACCTCATGGTAGCAAGTTGTTCATTGCAGTTCTAGTTACAATGTCTCAGGCAAGTAGGGTAGCAAAAGATGCATACAAGCCAGATCAGCCCTACTTCTTAAATAACTTTCCTCAAAGCACCAGCCAAAAAAAAAATCTTGTATTGATTTGTAGTCACACTGCTACATCTGATGCAAAAGAGGCTTGTCGCATATGTCATTTCCAACAAAGTTGGAATTCTTTCAGGTGCAGAGGAGTAAATTTTGGGTAGATGGAAGAGTTATGAGGGACACAGATTTTAATCCCTCAAATACTGAGCTGCTAATTTTCAGAATGTAAGTTGTGAATATATAAGTATATATATAAAAGATATTTATACATATCTTTATATATGTGATACATATTATATATATATATATATATGTAATATATATAAACCAGACAAAATTCTTGACCTTAGCCACAGGCAATTATGTCATCAATTTAATGTAGTTGAACAGTTGAACGCACTCTTCTACAAAGAAAGTTGGTTTATTGAGTTTACTAATCTTTTACAGAAGGTCAAATCTCATTACATTCACTCTCCTTTGAGATAAATTATTTATAAATAAAAACACTTGGCCAACCTACTGATAAATATTTTAGCAAAAGGGAATTGAATAGCCTCGATTTAGTTAATGACATACTGATAACAAAGATGTAGAAATTGTACTACTTAACATTTGTCTCCTATGTCCCCAATCCACAGTTTAATAGTGACCTTTTTCCTAAAGGATAAGAAGCTAGAAACTACTACAATTTCCTATTCTCTGCCTTCAAGTAGATTCATCCCTAAACCTATGCCACAGATATTCTGTTAATTTGTACTCTGACAGGAGGCAGTTATGTCTGAAAAAAATTAAGATTAAATAATATATTTACTAATATATATTTTCTATGAACAGCATTTCCTTTTTTTTTAATATTTATTTATTTATGCAAACAGAACTGGGTCACAGGTGTGGTGAGAGGATTCACCAGAGACAGAGTGGGGAGCAAAACAGGCAGATGGATGAAGTACACTGCTGAGGGAAACAGTGGACATGTCAGGAGGGGTCTGCCGTGCCATGTGGGTCACCTCTGGGGTGGATAGAACTCCCACTGAAGCATCTGGGGCTAGCTTGCAGTGCTGCCCCCTAATCCATTTCACCACCAGGGAGGACCCGCCTCACCAATTTTTTTTAAGAGTGGCAAAATGCCCTCTTTTTTTGTGCTCTGTGCATTATTACACAAAAATTCAACTAGCACTAGGTTTGGCATTAATATTTAGGAAATATTATATGTATGTGATAGAATATGAACTAGAGAAAGGAGAAACAGGTTGCTGTGGCCTGTATAAACAGGAGAGATAAGGTATAAGGTATCATCTTAATACTGGTTATACTAAAAAAAAGTGAGAGATGAGCTTAGTAGTTTTACAAATTTTCCACATGTTCCCTTTGTTCCTAACATTTTAGTAAAGCAACTAAAGAGGCCACAGTACATGTTTCTCCTTTTTCTAATTTACCTTCTATCATATGCATATAACACTGTCCTAAACATTAACGCCAAACCTAGTGCTAGTTGAATTTTTGTTTAATAATACAAAGAGCACAAAAAAAAGGCATTTTGCAGCTCTTTTAAAAAAAGATAAGGAAAGGTGTGCTGAAGCACACAGAGGGGGAAAAAGTCAGCATTCGATGAAATTTCCATTACACGAGCCCAAGAGAAGTGTTCTAGTGTATGCATATGTAGAAGTTACCATGCCCACAGCCTGAAAAGGAAAGGGTACATCGAAGAAAATAATTCTCTATTTTCCACTCTACAGGAAACAAATCTATTGAGAACATGGCTTTACTAGGCCTCTTTTAGCTGCAAGACATAGGAATGCAATTTAAACCAGCTTAAGCAAAACTGGAGAATTTATCTTTCATATACTAAACTGCAGAAAGGTAATAGTGGGCTCATCTTGGGGAGAGCAGGATTGAAGAATTCAGCCCACCTCCGGTCAGCCTTCTTCAACCACACTAGATCTTTGGGTCTCTATCTGAAGGAAATTGGCCAAATTTCCTTGTAAAGACTGGAGCAACAGTCACCTGTAAGCATTCTTGCATACAAGCACTCAAAAACATTTTCCCTCAGACTCCAAGTAAAGAAATCCTGTGACCAGAGATAAGGTTTGTGACCAGACAGGTGACAGGTCAGGTGCCAGGGAGGTAAGCTGGAAGCCAGGAATGACTCGAAGTGAGGAAGAGGTCTGGTGAGAAAGTGGTTTAAGGACGATGTTGTTTATCAGTTCACATCAGTCTAACAATCGTTAACTTTGTTTTCACAAGACATATGTTCCTGAAAAAATTGGACTACCTTTTGGGGTTCACCATCCTTGTCTCTAAGTTTACTTTCTGCTTTGTGAACACCAGGAGACTGTGAGGTTGTCGAGGTCATGTGAGATGGCAGTGTACATGCAGGAGACAGATATCAGACACTCCATCCCACTTCCATAGCTGTGATCCTTAACAGCAGTGAACATTCTCTTAGGGCAGGAATTTTTTATTATAGTTGCTCAATGAATATTTTGATAAATAATAAAAATGTTAAAATTGAGCTGCCAATTTCAAAAAGAGGCTCTTTGTCTTCACCGACACTACAAGAAGCCTCTGCGATGTTCTTAAGAAACTAATTTTGTAAATTAAAGGTGAAAAAATATTACTTTCCTCTTTAACCTTCATTTTTACAGACCTTGCTTCAATTTCAGTCTTCTCTCTACAAATAGTGGAAAAGCAAGCATTGTACATGTCTCAACGATCATTTTCGCTTGCTGTCATAACTGACATGAAAAGTCTAAACAACTCCAAAGCTTTTTGTAGTAAACTCATTCTTAGTTTGAAAAATTTGTTCTCCATAGTAGTTCGGGGCACTAAAACCCTAGTTTTTACAGATTCTATGCCATGATTGGGATGTCAAAAATCTTAAATATTTTTCACTACCTATCACCATTGAATATAGTCCTTTAAGTCATTCAGTGGTTACATGCAATTGTGTAGTCTAGATGTTTTCAAGTCAAATGATAAAGTATATGGTAGTTCACAAGTACAGTAGTGATCTGTGACATACATAAAGAAAGGGGAAAACCACAAAGTTTGCACTCCTGGCTATTGTCCTGAAGAATTTTTAAAACAAGATTATAACTACTATTGGTGACATGGTCTGTTGGCTACATTATGGCACAAAAAAGCTTCATTATGTATAAATTATAGTAGGATATTTTATACTAAGGAAGGCAGAACATGGAAGATATGACATAATTGGTTTTAGTTAAAATTACATTTTTTATGTTCTGACTTTCCCTTAAAAAAATTTCTAGTGGAAAAGAATGATTTCTGAGTTATCTTTACCAAAGAGAGTTGCAAATCCTGTTCTAAAATTGTCAGAACAAATTTTTGTTCACAGAATAACCATACCCACTCCTGCCAAGCAGTGGTATCAATGACAGTCAAATAACAACACAAAACCACTACATTTTTTTCTGGAGAAATGTATATATGTTAGCATGTTAAACCCGCAGAGAATATATCTGAGATTAAAAAAATGGGATAGTGGGCCCTCCCTGGTGGCACAGCAGGTTAAAGCACAGCACTGAGAAGCTAAAGCCACTTGCGCATGAGTTTGATCCCCGCCTGCCCCGGAGGAGTCCACATGGCGTGGCAGACCTCTCCTGACCTGCCCGCTGCTCCCCTCAGCAGTGTACTTCCTCCATCTGCCTGTTCTGCTCCCCACTCTGTCCCTGGTGAAGCCTCTCACCCTCCGCATCTCTGGCCTGTACCCCAGTTCTGTATGAATAAATAAATTAAGAAAAAAATGGGATAGTAAAAGAAAGCATAGTCTTCAAGTCAAGTGATAATAAACATCTTTGTTTTTCTTTTGCACCAGTGTTACAGTGTAGTACACATTAAATCATCTGTCCTAGAGAGAGAAGTTCTAGAAAATTAGAGGCAAGCTGTGACATACCATTAATTCCTGATTAAAAAAAGGTCCAACGATATGGAAATGTACAAACATTCCAACATTCTGTGGGTAATTATTAATCATCACTTGGAAACTTTCTGGGGCTTCATTTGCTGCTTGTCAGTGTGTTTTTTTCTATGAGACCCTCATACAGTGTGTTTTTTTCTATGAGACCCGCATTCCCTCATACTTCTCAAGTGACGCTTTCAGATGTCTGCTAGTTGAGTCATTAGTGGAGTATCTTCCATACTTAAATTGGAGGCCATTCAGATGATGCCTTTCTTCCTTCTCCTGTAGTCAACTCATATCCAGGAATATCCAAACTTCATAGACTCCTGGACTCAGTGGCCTTTCCCCAGACTGGGCCTTGCTGAGAGCCAGAGTTGGCTACTGCTCCACCCTCACTATTGTCTTTCTCTATGAAGATTGAGTAGAAGTGAGTGATTGAGTCTTCACTGTCACTTTGGAGAGATCGCCAGTCTCCATTTGCAGCTTGGGGGCAATCGCATTTGTCAGAAACGTCACTTTTCATATTTTCCACTTGATAGATCTAAGCACTGTAAAGAATGCTGCTAGTTGAAATTCTTCAGATTAATTTACAATTAACTATTCAAACATACCTCCTGTGTCCACATGCATCTAACAACAAAACAACGAGACCTCTGTCAAGTGTATGCAACTGAGAACATATTGAAAAAATTTCAAAATTCCTCTCAAATGACATTAATGCTGACATTCTGTTTTCCAACCCAACTCAGTTCTTAGGAGGAATACAGGTTTTCTTTGTTAACCCACTCGTGTGTCACAAAATAGCTTTGTCTCACCTGTCGGGCCAATGCCTGTGGCTGAATCTGAATGATGATTCTGCAGTAGAGGAGGGACCCCTGTCTCACCACATTGAGTGATTTTGAGGTTGTGACACTCACACCCTGAGGACTTCAGTTTTTTGGAGTATTTTTGGACACAGCATTTAATAAAGCACTTGAGAACCAAAAAGCTCAGTTCAATCATATTCAACACAATGCACAAGCAGGAGGTAATGACCAAGAAGAAGATGAAGATTGTTTTCTCAGTGGGCTTGGAGATGAAACAGTCCACAGTGTTGGGACAAGGCTTTAGATCACACTTCAGAAGGTAGGGAACACTGAAGCCATTGTACAGCTTGTAAAATAAAACCAGGAAGCCAATTTCAAAGCCAGTCTTAACAATGAGGCTGAGAAGGTAAGTATACCACAGGCCCCCATCCATTTTACCTGTGCTGACATAGAGTTTTTTTCTGTGTCTCTTCTCTCTGCCCTCGCGATAGGCTACATGTAGAACCACCAAAAGGGAGGGTGTGGAGACCATGATCAATTGTAATGCCCAAAGTCTGACTTGGGAGATGGGAAGGAAGTAGTCGAAGCAGACATTTTCACACCCAGGCTGTCTAGTATTGCACTCAAATTCCTTCTGCTCATCTTTCCACACATGCTCTGCTGCCACCATGTAGATCAGCAAGCGGAAGACGAACACAACAGCCAGCCAAATCTGCCCAATTCCAGTGGAATACTGATTTACTCCACTCAGGAGGTCTCTGAGGAACATCCAACTCATGATGTAGGTTCAGAAGAAGGCAAGAATATTTCCAGACACTTCCTGGTAACCCTGAAGAGAAGAGGTAAAATGTCAGTTGAAAACCCTCTGCTCAGCTGGGTAGAAGACGGTGGTGCTTTGGTAGTGGGTGTGCTACAGCGACTATATCTGAAGAGGGAGATCCTATACTTCCCAAATATGTTCAAAGATGTAAGTCAATGGTACTTCAATTAAAAAAATATTTTAAGATTTTTTAAAAGCCTCTGATAAAGTATAGACCATTTGCTCTTAACTTCTATAATCAGAAAATGTGAGCTGATCCTATACTTCCCAAATATGTTCAAAGGTGTAAGTCAATGGTACTTCAATTAAAAAAATATTTTAAGATTTTTTAAAAGCCTCTGATAAAACATAGAAAGACCATTTGCTCTTAACTTCTATAATCAGAAAAAGTGAGCTGGAGGACCAGATTTGCCACTAATACACTTAATTTCTCTGGTGAAAACATTGCCATTTCAGGTCCTATTTTGTATATAAAAATTAACTCCTCCCTTTCTCAACAGACTCATCTAAAAGAGTATCATCAAAATGATAGTGTGAAGGGAACCAGGGGGGGTAAGAAAATTGGGACATGGTTATAATGGCACACCTGTCAGAGCAGATCACGTTGTCTTTTACAGAGGGAACAATATCGCAAGACCACGTGCCGAGCCCTGAGGACATATAAGGTTAAGATGTGTTTTCAGAGAAAACAAAGATGCATATCCACAATGCTCTATTTAGCAGGAAATAACTACTTCAATGTCCTTGGTTTTCAGAACACAAACAAAATTGTATTAAATAGAAAGTATTCTCAAATCCACCTGAAAGGTTAATGTCTCCATGAATTATTAAAACAAAGCACCAAAGATTAAAAAGGGAGGATTGGATGATATGATGTTTCTTTATGACATATGTCCCTGAGTATAATAGCCTCATTACTCAAGAGGCTATTTATGTAATATTACAAAATTTTTGAAAGTACTCTGTTGGGCATTTAAAAAAAGGAGGAAGGTAAGAGGAGGTCCAGATTGTTTTGCTAAAAGAAAAGCTGTAAGAAAGAGACCAGTTTTTGAGTAGAATCAGAATCCTGACTGATGTGGTCCAGTCTGTCAGGATGGTGAATTTCATTTGGCTAATAAATATCCATCTATTTTGAAGTTCATTGCTGATGGAAAGGCAATGGCATTTCTTGGGAGGGAGGGGCACTCTAATGTTAGTTAATTTTGGACAGAGGTTAGTTAGTTTTGAGCATAGTAAGAGCACAGCATTGGACTTGTTGGTTTCAACACCAAGTTCACCTATGCTGATAATAGTATCTACTTCATGAGGCATACCACAGAATCTGGCGCATAGTAGATGCTTAGTAAGCATTATTATTTACTATTAAAAACTTTCCCTTAATGTCTAAGTGAAGCCTTTCCAGTTGCAAGTTAAATACATTTTTCATTTTCCCCCATATAGTTCTCTTCCTGGGAAGGTAGAGAATAGCTATTCAGGAGTAGCCATATCTAAATCCCTTTAAAGGACTTGAAAGCAGTGAAGTCATTAGCTTATCTCTTAAAAATAATATTTTTATCTCAAAAATAATTTGGATTGGCTCTCCCTGGTGGCGCAGCGGGTTAATGCACTGCAAAAGAAGCTTAAGCCACTTACACATGAGTTCAATCCCCACCTGCTCAGAAGGATATCCACATGGCGTGGCAGACCTCTCCTGACCCGCCCGCTGCTCCCCTCAGCAGTGTACTTCGTTGATCTGCCTGTTCTGCTCCCAACTCTGTCCCTGGTGAATTCTCTCACCCTCCGCATCTCTGGCCTGTATCCCAGTTTTGTATGAATAAATCTTTAAAATAAAAAAAATAATTTGGATTGTCTCATTTTTAATAAGGGTCTGGGTTATTTTTCATCTTAAAACACCAAGGATTACTCCCAATTTTAAAAGTTTCCACTTACTGTTCTAAGGGACCAATTCTTTTATAATTTTCTCCTTTCTCTTAAGAAAGAGCAGCTCACTGCTGCATAAGTATTTACTTAGAAAATTCAATAAACCAGTATTTTCAGAAAGTAAAATATCTAATGTTCCCAATATCAAGGCTACTTTGGTAGTTACAATGTAAAAATTTTACCTGGAAAAAATTAAATCTAGTAAAAAACACCAAGAAATTAAAATTATCACTTTCATTATCTGTGTATCCGTTTTTGTAATAAATGAACAAAGCTGTATTTAGAGTAAATTAATACAACTCAAGCATCAATATAGCTGAAGGCTGTCATGTAGGAGAATCATGTGATGAATCCTTTTCATAGTTTCTTGCCTTTACATATGTGTGAATGGCTCCCCAAGCCATGTATGTATGTGTGTATATATACATATGTATGTTTATGTATGCATGTGTGTGTATATATACATATATATATCCCTTCCAGTCCTCTCATTTCTGAGCTCCAGCTGCCTCTGTATCATTTCCACTAAGATGTCAACTCACAAACTTAAAATGTCCAAAAAGTGAACTCTTCCTCTGATTTACTTTACTCTCCACTTTGACCCAAAGCACTGCTCTTCCTTGAGTGCTCTAAGTCTCAGTAAGTTGCACCACTATCCACCCAAGTGTTGAAGCCAAAGACATGGAAGTTAATCATCTTCTCTCTGCCCTAAGCCCCACAGTCAGTCTGGATTCAAGTCTAAAATTTTTACTTTTGAAATATATCCCAAAACTTTTCACTTTTTTCATCTGCACTGTCAACACCCTAATCTATATCACCTCCTGCCTGGTATACCACAAGAATTCTTACCTCTCTCACATTGTTGGTCTTCTTCACCCTATTCTCCATATCATAACCAGATTTATATTGAAATGGAAATTATCTGGGCCTCTCTGATAGCCTAGGGGTTAAGTCTCAGCACTTTCACCACTGTGGCCTGAGTTCCATACCCAACCAGAGAACTAACCCATATGGCACAGCAGACCTCTCCTATCTTACCCGCTGCTCCCCTCAGTGTGTTTCAGTGAACTCACCTGTTCTGCTCCCCACTCTTAACCTTAATGTGGCCTCTCATTGTATTTAGGCTAAAAATATCACCAAATTCTTTATTTGGATGACAAAACTCTGCATACTAATTCCCTATAACCAAGGACTGTCACAGAATTCCAACACTAATATTTTCCAGGATTGGCAAATTATGCAGATTCCAAGCCAAATCCATTCTACCAACTGTTTTGTAAATAAAGTATGTTTGGGACACATGCATGCTATTTGTTTGCTATTATCTATGGTATCACTCAGGCTAAAAGAGCACAGTTCAGTATTGCAACAGAGATAGTAGGGCCCTCAAAGCCTAGAATATTTGCTGAAAACATTTGCAGACCCCTGATATTTACTTTGTATTTAGAATCATATTGGAACTGAGTTACAGAGCTTTGCTTATCTGGGCCTATGAGGAAAAAAAACACATGTTGAATTGTGCCAGAAGAAAGCTGAGGAAGGAAGCTGTGGTCCCTGCAGCATGAAGCTGTGAGTAGATGGAGTAGAGACAAGTGTTGGGAGAACAACGGTGAGTTGGGCTGCCCCACTTCAAGGAATCTGGGCTCTGTGGTCAGTGTCTTAGTCTCTTACTGAGCTGTGAGTTCATTTCAGTCAAACATTTTTTGCCCACAAAACTTTTAATGTTATTGGCTTTGTGATATTTTTCTTTTGTAAATATGGTTGTGTAACAGCCACAAGTCTAAGCATTAGCCTTCTATGTAAAATCACTTGGCTTCTTAATGTTAGACTGTATACATGTAACTAACTACATACTAAGAAAAATTGTCAGCACTGAAGGTCCGTGAGAAGTGCTGAGTGGAAGAGTGCCCACAGAGCCTGACACATGTATATCTGCATCGCTGCTGGGTATCTGATTTCCTTCATTAATAAAGACATTGTCATTTTTCAAGGATCCCATCTTAGGAACAGCACTAAGGTATTCCTCAGGCCACACAGAAAGAGCATCTGAGGAGTCCTGGGCTGTCCCTCTGTTCCCTGATAGTCCCACTCATTCACATCAGCCTACTCTTGATGCTCAGGCCAGCGGTCCTGTCTTGGCCATAGGCTCCAAAACTCCCCAAGTCAATCTTACATTCCAAACAGGCAACTTTACTTAGAGGCAGCTGATTCAGAAAGGGCATTTGTGATGTGGTGCAAAACTGAACAGCTGTTTGGCAAGGTCTGTGATAAATTAGGATTACCCTTTTCACTGAAATTTTTTTATAAGAGGTAATAAGTATCCAATTACAAGAAATGCCATTTTTCCCATTAAGTAAACAAATCCTATCATAGGAGAAATGAGCTTAACTTACCTTGGCACAGATGTGGAGATTAAGAGTAGATCCAGTTAGTGGCGCATTTGATTTTAAAAAGGATGAGTTGATTCTATTATTTTCCTGAGAGGGAACTAGTGCTTTAAGCTCAGGAAAATGGAGTCTAGTGGTTTCCAAGGTAGTGTAAGCCAAACAGCTGTAACCTGATCATTTGTTTTGGTTCATAACCTAGATGAGAATTCTTGTGTCTCTGCTGTTTATAACATACACTAAAAGAGAAGCAAAGCTAGAAAGCCAAATTCAAAGCTGCTTCCGTATACATAGTTCATTGAACACCCCTTTCTGTAAAACTGTGTCATCCTCTACACAAAGAAGCTAGACCAATGAGAGCATGCCATCCATTTAAATGCTTTTCCAAGGCTATTTATCAAAAGCTATCTACCAAAAAATGAACAATTTCTTTTTTTAAATAAATTTCTCTTTTTATTAAAGATAGTCAAACTATCTTGAATAAACTTTATGTTCACTCCATGGTGTAGTCATAGAAATCCAGAAAGTAAAGGCATGGTAAAAGTCACTTGCCCATATCCAGGAAGCATTGCTAACAGAAATTTTGTAGGTATATAAACATATGAAAGAGAGAAAGTAAAGTTATTCCACATAGAATACACAATTCAAAGAATGCAGTTTATTTTGAAAAAATCATTGACCTACCTTATTGATTATATCACTGAATAAACCTCCATTTCCAACAAAGCAAATCTTGCTTTATCTTTTTATGGAACTAAAAGTTAAAGATAATATAGAAATGAAAATGAAATTATTTCTCTCAGATTAATAATAATTTAGAAGCAGAAGTTTACAATTGGGAGTGAGATCATATGTCATGAAATTTACTGCCTTTATTCTTGAGATCAGTAAACAGAACCAAGGACAGCTTGCATGAGATCTCAGACCTTGAGAAAGTACAGAAAAGTGAAACCCATGTCCCTTTCCTTGCGCTCTGCCAGCCACATCTGCAGACCATGTGAACTCCATTGCAGGCTCTCTGTGACAAGCTCTTAATAGTGGGGACCTGTAAAGTTATTCCACATAAAATACACAATTCAAAGAATGCAGTTTATTTTGAAAAGTCATTGACCTACTTTATTGATTATATCATTTCCAACAAAGGAAATCTTACTTTAATTTTTACAGACCTCGGGATCTCAGAATGAAGACACAGTTCCCAAAGAGTTAAGGTCACAGAAAGCTCTCAAAGGCTTATCTCTGGAATTGATCATCCCTTTCAGTTTCCACTCTTTTGTTTATCATTAGCACTTACCTAACTTTATCCATGGTCTTAAAACATTGTTTGTTTGTACTGAGCTTCTGCCAGGAACTGTTGTTAAGGCAACCTTAGGGTGGCCTCACTGAACCCGTGGGCAACAATGATTCAGAAGTTCCCAGCCTCCTGGAAATAGGAGCTGTACCCCAAATGAAGGTAGCATTTGATGACCCAGTACAACAGAGGAGTAATTTTCTAGACAAAGGAATTTGCAGCATCTTATGGACAAACTAGGGGAGGGAGAAATTGCCAGGCACAGGAAGCCAGCAGAAAAGACTCCATAGAAGAAATTGGATATGGGTTGCATCTTTATAGAATGAAAGGAAGGATCAGCACACAGCCCCTCTGCTGATCCAGTTACACTCAGGACTTCTCTGTGTTTTTGACAAAGAGATTTAATTCTTCTACCTCCATTTTTTCATTTGGAAAAGGCAAATATAAAGACTGCAGAAAGATCAGAGTATTATAGTAGAAATAATACAAACGCAAAAGCCAGAAAGTTGAGGATGGGAAAAAGTAAAGGAAGACAGAACTGGAAAAAGAATGGAGTGAATACTATTGATCTCCTCTGCTCCTTCGATATTTTGGATTTTAACAGCTGCCCTTTCAGTGTGGGAAGATGGCCCTGCAGGATGAGGGCAGAAGTAGCATCCAAAGCTGACGAGATGGTTTAAACCAGAGCCTCCAAATACTGCCCGTCTGGAAAAATTGCGCAAGCGTGAAGGCTTCAGGAAGACCCATCTTGGTCATTGCTCTGTTAAGAAAAAACACAAACACAAAATCAAGTTTCTAAGAGTTAGCTTGGTAGCTAGCTGCAGAGATGGGAACAGAAACAACTGTGCATTGAAAAGCCTCATATACATTACACTCTGCTCTGAACTTGACAGTTTTCATTTCTCAGAATAGTGT